GAAAACATCACATCTATATCTTATAAAATAAAATAAAATAAAATAAAATTATATTATATTATTTATAAAATATATAATTATTATATTTAATTTTATAAAAAATACTATTGTCCCAATTATTATTATAATTATTAATTACAATATCACAACTATATTATATTATATTATAATGATAAATATAATAATTATTATTATTAATTACAACATCACAACTATATATTATATTATATTATCTTATAATGATAAATATAGTTATTATTAATTATAATATCACAATTATATTGTATATTATATTAATAAATATAATTACAATGTATAATATGTAATATAAGATATTATTATAATATTAAATATGATATAATATATGTATATAATTATAATATAATATATTATATGTTATAAGATATAATTACATTATATAAATTATTATAATATAACATTAATTATATTATAAATATTAATATAATAATTATAATATTCAAGAGTAATGGTGGAAAATAAAATTAAAATGGTTTGGAATGGGCATTCCTCTCATATTATATATTATGAAGAAAGAATGATAATTCACCCATTTGATGGAAAAGTCATTCTATTTTGAATAAACATTCATTTTCTTAAAACCAATCAAACATGAGAATGAACCTTGATTCCTTTTCATTTCTTTTCATTCTTCCCAGTCAAACACGTGAAAAAAAAAAACACGCGCACACACACATTAGACATTTCATATCTGAAAACTACCTTATTCTTTTCACAATTTAAATATTATTATTATAATATTTTTTCTTATAAAAAAATTAAATTAAAATTTTTTATTATAATATTTTTCTTTCTCCCATAGAATTTAAATTTTTAACTTAGAGTCGTGAACCATTACAAAGTTGTTTTGGGACGTGGCTTGCGTGAGTTCTGATTAGGCGTTGACTGTTGAGCGAAAATATGTTATTTGTGATCTGGTCATTTTCACTAGGAAAAGGCCTTTAAGAGGCCTAACAGTACGGAAACCTTTTTATTAATGTTTGGGGGAGCGGACAGGAGAAGGCAGTAAGAGGCAAACTGGCAAAGGCTGCGATCGGAGTAAAGTTGACCAAGAACAGGAAGAAGAAGAAAGAGAAAGTTCAAGGTTGGGGAAGAGGGGCAAAATGGTAAATTGAAAGGAGAAGGGTACAATGGTAGTTTAGCGTGAAAAACGAGGTACAAAGATAAGTACGCCAGACTGTCCCGCCAAAGCTTCTTCTCCTTCAGGGTTCTCCCCACTGTCACTTACTGTTCCCCTCTTTGCAACTTGCACGCTTGTAACTTGTGTAGTTTTTCTGTCCGCTCTCTCTCTCGATGCTTACTTATCCACGAGTTCTAAAATTTAAACCTCGGATAATAACAAAAACCATACATGTAGTATTTTATTCAAATATTACGTAGGTCTCTCTATCATTTGTTTAATTCGTTAATTTAAATTTTTAATTTAAGTTAAATTTTAATTTTATATAAAAAAATTTTATTGTAACAAAAAAAAATTAAATGTGACTGTATTTGAGAATTTTTTACTGTAATAAAATTTAAATCGATGAAATGAATCAGACTTTAATTTCTAATTATTAGTACGGTGAAAATCACATTAACTGTTTGGTATAATTGAAAACTAGAAGGAAGGAAAATATTTGAGGGTTTTAAAGATAGAAATTGATAAATTGAGATATTTAATAGGAAAGAAATTTAGGTAAAAAAATTAAGAAGTGGGTCCTACTATATTTCTTCTTTCCATAAGTGGGCGGAAAATGGAATGAAAAATGTAGACAGTTAATTAAAGTGAGCAAGATTAGTAAAAAAAAAAAAATTAAAGTGAACAAAGTTACTAAACTACCATTTTCTCCATCAACATCTAAGCAAAAAAATTTAAGCGGCAATTTTAAAAAATTAAGCAAGCGGGTGGTTTGTATTTGTTAATGTATAGCAGTTGTATGAAAGCCCTCTCTCATTGTATTTGAAACTTTATATTTAATGCATTATAGGTTGAATGTTAATGACAAATGTTGATGCTAAATTATTTTTATTACTTTTTTTGGAACTAAAAAATATATGGTTAATACTATTTGGATAATATGGTAATTGCTCCTAAAATATTTTTTCTATTTTTTTGGTTTCATTTCCCATACCAAATAAGAGAAAGTAAATTCATTTTCATTCTTCCCGATCATACCAAACAACTAGAGGGAAAAATCATAATCTTTACTTTCCTTTTAATTTTCTATCATTTATAATTTTTCCTTCCCTCTCATTTTCTTTCCTTCTACCAAATAGAGTGTAAATAAATTTTTTTACATAATATATAATTTATGATATAGATCTTATGGCTAAAAAGTAAAAAAAACTACTCATATTTTATTTTTATGGTCTTACTAAAAAAACTCTTTATAATGAAAGATTTTGTGATATACGGCCTCATTCATTTTACCGATTGAAGTTTTTAATTCGAGTTTTACTATAGTTAAAAGCTCTCACAAAAAGTGACATCTAACTTTTTCTGTTACAGTTAAAAGCTCTCACAAAAAATCACATCTTAACTCGAATCGGCAAACTGAACAAGCCTTACATGTATTATGAGGTTTTTTTGTCTAGTGTTTTTTTAAGTATTTAACCATGTGTGTCCTTAATTTTTTGTAATTTACTTTTCTCATTGCAATATAGTCTTTATATATGTATTTCGTTGGATAATTAAAATTAAAAAATGATGAGTAGTCAGAGAAAAGAAAATTCTCTCTTGCTAATTGATAAAACTTGCAAAAGGTTAACTGAATAAGAATATCGTTTTAAAACCTCATCTAGTGACCCAAAAAATGAAAGTACACATACATACATGCATATATATATATATATATATATATATATGTGTGTGTGTGTATAAATGTAATGCAATCTTCTTATTGATTTTTAACTAATTAAAAACTATTTTTGTTAAACCATGTAAAATTCTCGTAAAATTATTTGTAGGTCTCAATATTTTAAGACGCACGCACACATATCCATTTTCAAAATTGTTTATGAATTCATATTATTATAAAATTGTATACAATCAAACCGACACTTATACCTTAACAATAGTTTATTCATCCTATGCTCATTATCATCACGTTTCTGTCGTTATGATAATTAATGTAATTAAGGTCATTCGATCTCTATTGATAAGTTATCATTATGATAATGACACAAAAACTTGATATATATTTGGTTATTAATTCTAGCTTCCATTGATCATTGTATAGTTGTGGTTGTGTTATTCCAAATCTGGTTAGTATTGATCTATGTTCTAATGCAGAGTTATATATATGAATGAGTTTTTAATGATTTATATATATAATTGATTATATTTGTGACCATAAACATGCGCCTCTCATTTTATGGGTGCTTAATTCATTCAGTGTAAAATAAAGCGTATAAATCACAATTTTATTTTATTGAAATATATAGTTATTATTTTATATTTTTAAGCTTTGGTATTTGTAATAAAAAGGGCATCATTATGATAATGGCAGAACTAAAAGATAAAAATACAAATATTATGATATATATTGAAAATAAAAAATGTTCAAAAATAGATATTTAGGTAATATTACATAAAAACAGTTGATTTAAGCGTCAATAAGTTGTGACATCATGTAATTACTTCTCAAAGTCTCTAAAATCATGAACCATTATCATTGTAATATATACAGGGATGGAGCCACTTGAGCCGAGAAGTGACCTAATGGGCTCTATTAAACCTTTGCCTTTGCAAATTCTCCTGTGACAAAAAGAGAATTATATAATATTTACTTTTTAAAAGTACATACGTTTAAATTTTTACTCTTTATTCTTAATTAATATTATTTTGTTAATGTAGTTATTTGACTAAAAAAGTTATTAATTAAGAATAAGAGATAAAAATTCTGACCAATGCATTTTTAAAGGGTATTTATCTTTTTTTTCTCTTTATATAGAATGTTTTTGAAAAATTTTCTATGCATTTTAAATTTTGACCTTTAATTACAGTCACATATAATTTTTTTGCTACAGTAAAAAATTTTCACACGTTACATCACATCTCAACTCAAATTAAAAACTCGAATTAGCGAACCGAACAGGCCCTAAATAAACCAAAAATCAACTGCCCCGCTATCTGAATTTGAGGATTCAAACTTATAAATGTTTTTTGAAAGGAAAATTGAATAAACTCGATTACGTGAAAACAAATAATACAAGTATAAATAAAAAGAAGGAAGAGAGAGAGAGAGTTTGAAAAATATATAGTTGCATTGTTATTTTAGTCAAAATTCCAATTCCACTAATGTCGCTTGAAAAAAAAAAAATTGCTTCCCACTAATTGTATCTCCTATAAAATGCAATTTATTTAGGCAGATGATATTTATTGAGAACCTATGTTGTGCCAAATTCGGTTTCTTTTGAATCGTACATGTGCCGAAATCTGAAACTGGATGGATGTAAAGGTTGTTACATGAATGATTTCTCTTATACTTTTGTTATAGTTTTTGGATGACACGGTTTTCAAATAGAATGAAATAGACTCCGTGACTTAAAATGGCGGATCCCACAAGCAAACATGAGTCAACGACGTACAAAAAGCCAAACGATGATGAGCTAAGGTAGATTAGTACTTAAATTGTAAAAAAGGAATTTACGTTGAAGATTAGTAATGTAATATATAGTATCATATACATTTTGCATATCTAACACACACACATATAATTAAAACACGAAGCAATATATTTGAGTTCCGCGTGTCACACCCAAGAACCAGCTAACAACGAATGGAGTTGTGGATTGTGACCTCCAAGTCTTTTTGCTTCGAGTTTTTAATTCGAGTTGAGATGTGATTTTATGTGAAAACTTTTTACTGTAGCAAAAAAGTTAGATGTGATTGTTTGTGAGAGCTTTTTACTGTAACAAAACTCGAATTCTAAACTCGAATCAGCGAAATGAACGGGACCTTAATCTTTGCGTGTTGTGCTGAAAAGTCTAAGCTGGTCAAAAAATCCTGAAACTGGTGGATTGTGACCTCCAAGTCTTTTTGCTTCAAAGATAGTGATCAACAGGACAAGAAGAATCAGTCATTTCCCTGTCTAGGACAAGATTCATGAGCAAATTTAATTATAAAATGAGTAGACATTGTTCCGCAAAATGAATTTAAGGTTTGACTGAGCTTAGAAAAATAACTGGAAAGACTACTACTACCATGCCGACAAGGAATAAAAACTGGATCAACAATAGCGGAAATTTTGAGCAAGTCAACGAAAAGTTAGGTTTACCTAATGTAATCAAGAGTGGATTTCGTGTCGTTTGTTATCAGCCTTCCAACTCAGCTAATTCAACCAAGCAATTTTCTATAAACAATGGGCGTAAAGGAAAAAAAAAATGTCCAGGAGAAAACAACAGAAAACAGAATCTTATTATTGATGTTACAAGAACAACATACCAGTTGGCAATATAACGATAATCCTCACCAAAAAGAAGCAAGAATACTAATGGGGATGCCAATTCAATATTACAATTGGATACAGCCAGACTCGAGTGGGAAAATAAAAAAATAATAAAATTGTGGGGTGATGTGCAAAACTATAAATAGATCAACAAATAATTGGACCCTCAAGTCTGACGGAAAGGGCCATCCGTTCCAACTGGAACGCCAAAACAATGGTATTGCTGGGGCCAAATCACTCAAGAAATCGAAGAAAATGGCAGGGTATGAAAAAACATCTTACCAGTATAACACTGTCTTTGAGTGTAGATTTGTATCAAATTCTATCCAGTTTTTCATATTTTTTATTTTGACCAGATCTAACGTTCATAAACATGTACTACCAGCAAGGACACCCTACCATAGAAAGTTTTTAAAAAAATGTCCCCAAATTTTGGAACATGCACAGTTCTTCGTTCATTCAACTGTAGTCGTAGTAGATATTTTTACTAATCGCGAATAAATCACTATCACTCCAAAAGGTTAACTATGATCCTACTCTTGAGTCTTGTCAGAATAGAAGCATGGCAAATTTGCTAGATTGCTTTTAATCCAGCAAGCTCCCGTAGCTTCTCGCAAAGTATAAATGTAATTGTAGTTTGTGGACCTAATCTTGCGAAAATTGTGAAGCCCCTGCAGAGTTTAAAAACTAAAATCTTCAAATATGATGATTGAAACAAAATAAAATAGATTATAATGTGATCCTGAGGAAGCTGTATGTTAATTTCTACTATATCATAGCACAAAAGCAGATATGTTTCTAGTTTGTTAAGACATTAGTGGAAAATATCAAAATTTAATCCATGAATACTTTGAAGACTACAAATGACAAAATGTAAAGAAAACTCCTACTGTATGGACAAAATAGAAATGCATGAGCCAAGAGAAACTCACCCCTTATAAAGGGCCTTGGGTCCTTCAGTACGCACAACCTGAAACCACACGCCAAACTTCATCAGGTAAGAAAGCTGTAACACTTGAAAATCTTGGCCATGTCTTCTATCCGCTTATATCAGAAAATTTATTTGTTATAAGTTTTAAAGATTCAACTTCCTAATAGAGAAGAAAGACACAAATCTGCGTTACGAAACCAATGCCAGAATAAGGAATAAAATACAGTCAAGTGGCTAGCAATTGAATTCTCAAGTTGCCAAATGTAAGTAAAATGCGCTGAAACACCACCAAGTTAACTTTCACCAACCAAATATTACTTAAAACCGTAAACTCTTTTGCAAATTAAATCTCCATGCATGCGCTCCCTCCCATTCTAAAAGTACTGAAACAAACAAAAATGAATTGAAACCCAAAAAAAGAAGATATAAAAATTACTACCTGATATGCACAATGAAATCCATTCCTATAGGTTCCAACCCTTTTACATTCTCGTTGCAACATGAGACGGGTTTTAACCATGTCCATAGGGGCAGTTATGAGGGTGCTGAGACCGCCGGCAACCATACTTGAGCTTCATCAAGTGCAGGGATTTAGTTAGTTTCCAGGAATAGGATTTGATTAGACAAACAATTCAGCACACTTCATTACAGCAAAAAATGGGACCCATGTATTAAACTCGGTCAGTTTTGAATTAAATAATCATCAATCTAGAAAGTGTTAGGACTACGTTGACAAAATTCGAACCTAATGTAGCTATTTAACTTTTCAAATCAACTGTGAATATCTTTAAGAGATATATCCATTTCTAGATTTTTTGAGCTAATGATTTTTCTTGATTTATTTTCATCATCATCTAAGCGTTGTTTGAGCTAAGCTTGAAGGTAATAAAACATTAAACATCTGAAGATAAGAATTTTGGTAGTGCCATACATGAGATGCAGGCGAAATCCTTCTTCAAGTGATGTCCACCTAATCAAAGTCTGCACTTAAATTAGAAAAAAAAAAAAAAAGGAAGAAAATTTCAGTACCAGATAGAATTGGAAATTAAAAAGTGAGAATAAAAAATTCTTTTCATGTGCAACGAATTAAATATCAGATTAACGATCTGGCAATTACTTCGTGGATATTCAAAGTGAAAAATAGCGTGCTTAGAACTTGACCCGCTTGGTTTCATCATAAGTTGCCAGTTGTGATGCAGTCAAAGCAGCAGCTCTGGCCATAGCAGGGCCAACGCCCTTCCAAAGAGCTATAACCCCTTCTTGAGAAACAATTCTGCGTAATTCTTTTGTTGGTCCTCCTTTTCTTAGGTTCGGATTCATCTGTAAACGAACCTGGTGACAGGAGAATAATTTCTAAGAAACGAGTCAAACAATCAGGGGAAAAATTTGAAAGGTTTTAAATGGAAATCACCTTCAAAACCTCAACTGGATTGGTCAGTGCAGTTGCAATGGCACCACCAAATAAGCCAGAAGCAATCTTAACAAAAATATTGGTGGATCCAAAAGCCCAATCACAAGCATACTTTGAGGGTTCATACAAGCCTAAGCGAAGACCCCCATAAAGAACCGATCTTGTCAATGCAGGTGTCAATCCTAGATACAAAGATCTAGGCCCTTCACTTTTTAATACTTGGACAAACAATTGCCCCTGAATATACAATTCATCTTATTACGATACTCATAAATCAGATCGTGAACAAATATATTAGAGCTAAGCAAACTACCATTCCAGTTAAAGGACCCCTCTGACCGACAAGTTGCATTTGCAGCCTAACTTTGAGTACATCTGCATTGCCAAAAAAAGTGCATCAACTTTTTAATAATGCAAAGACACTATAAATGTTTCTTTTGAAAAGTTCTTCTATATGCCCAACCGTATGCCATCTTTTAGTAACTCGTACAAATGTGACAAGAGCACTGATTTCAACTTTAATCTTAAACCCCACTTGTTGCCACTTTAAATGTCAAATCACAAAAATGGCCCTTGAAATGCCAACAAAGAAAAGATAAAGCTGACCATTTGAAATGCCAACAAAGAAAAGATAAGGCTCTCTACTTGGCCATACCAAAGTGGAGGTGCTCAAATTCTCAGTCATTATTACCTTATTCAAAGGTTATAAAACAAATTTCTACTAAAATTTACCCCTTCTCTATAATACAAAAATAGTTGTATATGCATACCATGCCTCTAATTTCTCTAATATGCGATATACACCCTTTAATGATGAACTCTAAGTTTGTCATACACGAGAGTTCACATATGAAAGCTCCCAACTGAGCTCCATGTTCAGCACATTACACTGGCAAAAATAAGAAGATCCCACAAAAATAAATTCAACAAAAGTAAAATCCTTTTGAGGGTGGGTCTGTCTTTAACCTACAATATGGAAGTCACACAATTTTTGTTTACATAATTTGTCTGAAATCAACCAAGTAGCATTCTCCACCTTCCAAATAATTTTAAAATTGAGAAAGTAAGTTCAAGAAATAGGCATGACAAGAAGATAAGCCAATCGAAGCCAACAAAAATTGTGATTTGTAACCCTGGAAAAATCATCCTTTTTTTTTCCTGTAATCACTGGCGTCATGATTTTACCTAGAGGATGAGTGATTCCTGTCGCAACCGCCACAGAAATTCCACTGGTACCGAAGTGGTAAGCAGCATAGGACGGCGAGATCGCCCAACTCTGCTTCTCATTGGCTTTCATAGTCCCTGAAAATTCAAACCAAATCGCGATTAAGCAAAAACATATTTATATATGTATATATATGAGCTATTTTTCTGTTTAGCAGCCGAGAAAAAGACGAAGCAGCTCGTCTTTTTCTCTGCAATTTGAGACCCGACCTGTCACCACCAGCTAAAGGAAACGAAGTCGAAAATCAAGATTCAAATCAAAACCGATCGTTGCTTGTTTTTTCCTTCCCTCTTTCCTCTGTTTTCTCGGAAACCAAACAAAAATTAAGATCTGGAAAAGGAAATACGTGACTGATCGAACCTGAAAGCTGCGATTTTTCGTAACCGTTTTTATCAGGCTCTTTGCTTCTCCGTAGAATGTTTGGTGCTTATTACAATATCGAGCGGTTTTTTTTTTTTTTTGCTGACTTGCGCCAGTTGTTTCTTTGTTCGCCTGTAAAATCGTTAGTTAAATCTAAAAGGCCTGATTCGAGGTCGTTTTGTCTTTTAAAGACAAATTTACTATCGTGTTGGCGTTCTGGCGAGAAAAGAAAGCCGAAGAAAATAAAATAGTTTTAATTACTAAAAAAGATTAAATTTTGAATGGTGGGAAACACGTTTTAAATCCTTTATCCTTGAAAGTAATTTGTTATGTAGATGTCAAGTGTATATGTGTTAAAGATAAAAATCATAAGTTTCAAGAGATTTGACTAAAGCATGTCAATGACTTCTGCAACTTTTGGTTGTCTAGATTGTACACAACATGAATAGAAGATCAATTTCCAACTTTTATGGTTTTAGAAATCAGAACCATTCTGTAGATTGGCCCTTCGTATTGGCTGAGTACACCGTACACTTGACTTATATGGATGGTTGGAATGTTGGAGGTTTCTCTTAATTCTAATAAAAGTATTTTGTGCTTTTGCTCCCTAAATTTTCCACAAGTTTACAATAATTACCGCGTCAATTTTAATTTGAGTAAATTATCATTGAATCCAATAAAGTGTTATAAAATGCCCTCAAATTGATTACATATGTTAAAATCTCGGCAAAAAACACTTTTATACCCATTATGTTTAGAGGCTGAAACATCAATGACAATGGAATGCATCATGTCGTGTATGTAAAGGCTTTTTCTTCCCAATTTTATCATGATTAAAAGTTCAAAATTAATACTAAATCACTGAAAGTTGAGGGGAAAAAAGACCAGATTATAATAACGTCCATTTCTTTGAGTGGAAGAAAATTAGTGAATGGGGAAACATTCTAAATGCTTAATTAGTAATTTGTCCTTTAGATTCCATGTAAGTTACTTGAGCTTTAAAATTTGTAAACTATTTTTGTGTTTCCAAGCAAACACTAAGCAGAAGGAAGAATACTTAAGTACCGCTGGAAATAACGTTAATACACACTTTTGAGTAAAAATGTCTCGGTTGCGAGCAAATTCGTAGGGCTTGCATTTACAAAATCACTCCTATAATTGTGCATACAAAAAATGCGAATGCCCACCTCTTTTCTTTTAGAGCACGGTGGCTACCGGTTTGGCTAGATAGAGCACTCACCCCAAAAAGGGAAAATCTCTTTACATTTGTTCTCCGAAACAGCAAAACAGTCGCATCTTCCGTGTTGTGTGCTAGAAGCAATTCCTTTTGACATCAAAGAGCTGATGTCTGAGAAACAAGTATTAGAAAAGAGCAAAATGTTCATGAATTGGTTGGCCTGAAGATGTGTTCAAAATTTAACAACAAAAGTTAAAGTTAGGAATGCAATAAAATCAGTTGTTATGGACCAATAATTTCTGGAGGAAAAAAAAAAAATGTTATTGGCCTTCAAAAAGCTGTATTTTAGCTCTAATTATGCCTTGCACATGCAAAACTGAAATCCTAAGAACCAAAAGGTGTGAGTTTTTATTCTAGTTGTATTAGTGGTGACCTTTTGTAGTCCAGTCTCTGTGTGACTATCCCATTAAGTAGAAGCTCTGAACTGTAAACTGATGATCCTGCAATTATGAGCCGGAGAATTTTAACGTGTCTAGCCAAAGGGTTAGTATTTTATAGAGAGAAACGATGAGGGATAGATTTATACCTTTCTTAAGGAATGGCAGACAGATTGAATGATCTTCTTTACAAGAAAGAATCAATAGACCTTCTGGGATATTTTCATCTTTTAGTGCCGATATCTGAAGTTTCTCCACTGGCTGAGGAACGTTTCAAGGCATTATCTCAATAATTCATAAGTGAGGCAGATAGCAAAATACTGCAAAATTAAACCAACTGCCTATAAACAAGTAGTTAATAAATTACCTATAGTTACCTGGCCATGAACTGCCTTGACCAAATTTATGATTATTTCTTTTTCAGGCTTAGTGTTTGGGGTGACAAATACTCTTTGGCCCTGAAAGGGAGCAGCAAACAGGTAAATAATATACCAGATATAAGCATATAACCAAAAGAGCAAAAAAGAATTAGGCAAAAGTAACTAAGACGCTTAAGTCTAAACTAATTTGAACCATTAGCAAAAAAGTATTGTAATCTTATTAAGACAATACAGCTTGTATGTTCACCTTTAAGAGAGGATGCTGATTTGCGCGAGCCAATGAAACAGGCATACAAAACCCAAATTCCTTTTCCTTCTTAGCATCCCTCAGAATGTAGTTTCTCTCATCGATGAAACAGTTTTCTTCTCCACAACTCTCCAGCCATAGGTGTGTCACCACTGGTTTACCAAGAGCAATAGCTTCCAACATGTTTTTGGTGCGTGCAAATGTATCTGCTACAAAATGTGTTGCATCCATAGAACATGACGCAATGGATGTGCCTAACCTTGCCGCAACCTACTAGGATAAAAATGACATTCAGTTCTGATTTATAGTAAAGTTTTCTGTGATAAAACAGAAATCAAAAGTCTACCTTTTTCTGCTGCTTGACGATATCAGCATCCAAATGCTGGCTAAACAAGATGCGGACATGTGCCATATCTCTTCGTCTTCTCAACTCTTTCCATGCAAATTCAGGTATTTGCTCGGGAACACCTAGCTTGATAAGCTCTTTCAAAAGGGATCTTCTTGGTACATTTTTTTGGCATGGTCTTTTGTCGTAGTGGCTATACGTATTATTGGATGGCACTGCATTTTTGCCTGTTTTAGAGCTAAATGTAGTACATTCTGAACCAGAGTGCTCAAGAGTCTTGTTTGAAGATGCTACTATGGTATGGTCTTTTTCTGCACCAATAGCCACTGATGCGATACACTCTGAATCAGTAGAAACTATTCTCATAACAGCTGTTTCGCGTTCAGAAATGGAGACTGCTAAATCTGGTTCAGCAAAACTTTTTCCTGACAAGCTTCTTGGGAAATCATTTCTTGAAGAAGATTTGGACTCTGCTTCCTCCTTCATATTGGCTTTGCCTATCATCCTATCATGATTATGTGGATTGAATGGGACATTCAGGTCAATGATTCTGGTGGAATGTTTCCCTACTTGGCGACTTGTTCTTTTACCTTTGGGACAGTTCCACATATCTGATTTTGAAAAAGTGTGCCATGTGATCTGTCTAGCTCCCTTACTTGAAGAACGAAGTTTCAAGCTTTTTCCTCTCACATTCAAGACTTTCAATGGATTAGCATTCAAACATCTTCGCTTTCTTATGTACGCAAGGATGCCCTGTTCTACAGTATCTTTCACCTTTTCTCCTGGATTAACCCCTAAGTCGTGCTGTCTAGTTCTGCAGGAAAAAGGAGTAACTTTCACACCTTGCCCTTCGGACTGTTCATTAACTTGAGGGATATTTTGCACCGGTGTTGCTGAAATCATATTGCTATTATTTTCAAGAACTCCTTTCTCTCTTTGCATAACAGGGTTGGGAGGACTTCGTCCTGAACTTTCATTTGAATTAGCAGAATTATTACCACATAACCCAGACTCAGCTAACAACTTTTTCCACTTCACTAACCCCAGTTTTGTCAACTCAGGATTACACTCCTTGATTCCAGGCTGTTTCCTAGACAAACTGGAAATGCCTCTACCAAACTTCCTGTCGGACCTCTTTTTTCGCTTTACACTTCCCAAAATGTCTCCTGTATCATAACAAGCACTCTTTTGAATGGAAGGAAGTTTCAGTTTAGCATTATTCTCTCCGACACCTCTTAAAGAACCATCCGCGTTGTTTTCCATATCCTGAAAAGCATTGGCAGAACCATGGCCAAAAGGATAACCATAAGCTAGTGCTTCGATGGCTTCCGCAGCTATTTGGGTGTTGAAACCAATATCACAGATGTCAAGAGTATCACTTCCCATCTCACTAAAATCCAACTTCTTCCCTGTTAGTTCCAACTCCTTGGAAGAGTTAACTTCAGTGTTGGTTTCAACTTTCGAACTATGCCCTGCAAATCCCTTGTCCAAATCACTTAAATCCTTAGTTTCCTTGCCAAGATCGGAAATCCCTTTTCTATCCCTGCCCTCATCATCCAAAATGTCTATCCGCTTCCTTCTAAAAGATCTCTTCTTTCTAAAGGAATCCAATCCTTCATAAGGGTCATTGACCATAAATTCAAGCTTCCACTTTTCCTCTATGTGGGCTTGCTGACTAATTCTCCTGGCCAGATTTCGAGGTCCTTCGGCACTTGGCACAGCAGGAGATTTCTCTCTACAAGTCTTTCTATAGTCAGTCTCAGTCCCTGGTGACATGCCAAATTTGTTAATCAACACAAAGTGGTCAACAAAACCGAGTGCATCAGCTTGGGACCACTCCTCAAGTTTCTGAGTACTTTTGTTATTTAACCTCACAAGTTCCCCTTCACATGCAGGCTGCTCAGGCAGATCCTTTTCGTTCCCAAAACTTGTTAATAAAACTTCACTCCCTTCAACGTATTCAAGACGAAGCATTATTGAAATTCGAAAATGAACAAGATAATTTCACACAGGACACAGCAAAACAATATATATATATATATATATATATATATATGTATGTATGTATGTATGTATGTATGTAATCACACAAAACATAACATTTGGGGGGAAAAACACACACACACACACACAAAACTTAAAATAATAGGGGTTATTTACTATTTATACCATGCATAATCATTGGATGTCAGTTTCACATTATCTTTTTATGTCAATTGCTGATTTTGACCACTTAAATTAAGACTTTACTAGTCACGACGTATAGAGTATCCAAAATGCATGGTATATACTTTTGATAAATGTAAAATGCAGAGTATAAGATACCCAAAAAAGCCTAATAATAATCTTGTAGAAGATGAAAATAGTGAATATTATACCTGCGCAACGTTGTTCGGATTTTTTCTCAGCCTCATTGTCAGGTAAGGATTTGGTCACAGCCACTACTCGACTTCCATTGATTTCTTCGTCCTCACTATCAAGCACTATTTCTTCCTCGTACTCGCATGGCGGTTCAGTCGTCTTTTCACCGCCACCACCGCGATCAGAATCGCACTGTAGTTCAGTGTCCAAATTTATATTGCAGAACTCGGATTCCTCCGTGGGGCTATCAAGAGGAACAGTGTCCTGCAATTGTGCGCGATCGTCTTCATTACCTTTCTGGTTTCCGCATTCTGATTCACATGCCAAAACAAGAAAACTCTGATTAAACGGATTCTACAGCAGTTGTGCATAAACCGATTCTTGGAAAAGCAATCTTAGCAAGTTCATTTTAAAGGGAAAATTTGACGTAAAAGATGAAAATACTTCAACAAGATGAAAGTGACGATTACCAGATGAGATTGAGAATCGATGAGACGGAAAATCAAAGCGATGGATGTTGTTGGTGCTATTGAGATCGATGGCCATTTTAGAATGCAAAAATCGAAGAATTACACACAAACTCTTGAAGAGAAAATCGCTGAAATATATAGACTGAAAAATAATTAAAAAGTGGTGTGGATTTTGAATTTGAAGAGTTGTGGAACGGCAGGGGAAGCGTTTTGGAGGGGGGAAAAATCAGAGGAGAGGAGAATGAGTGGGAGATTTTCAGGTCTGTATTTTGGAGGGAAATATTTGATGCGTATATTTTAGAAATTATTAATTTGTCATTTGTCAGTTCAAGCGGCCATTTGGTCTGGTGGTATAATTCTCGTTTAGGGTGCCAAAGGTCCCGAGTTCTATTCTTGCCAAGCCCCCGACGTTTCGTTTATGTTTTTTAGAAGAGTTTTGAACTCGTTTTGAAATAATTTTATTTTTTTGTATGAAAATGAAAACGTTTTTAATCTCATATATAATTTATTTTTAAAAATGTGTTTGATAATTTTATTAAGAAATTATTTTTAGTATAAAAAAATTATTAATGTCTCTTTTTTCTCTCTCTACTCGAGAGATGAGAAAATAAAAAAAAATTTATTTTTTATTTCTCTCTCATTTTATACTAAATTAAAAAATTATTTTCATTTATATTTTTTATATTTATTACATCAAACACTGTTTTAAAAATATTTTCATTTTTTTCTTGAAAACCGTAAAAAATAAAAACATGATCAATTCTAAACACATCTTCATTTTTGCTTTTCTTTTTCTCTGCCCAGTTCATTTGAGTTCAATGCAGGACTGAGGTCCAATTTTTCTTTTTTGCCTTTTTTTTTTTTTCCCTGCCACCGTTTTCAAAAAAATGGCCTCTGGAATCGAGATTATTTATCTACGTAAATATTACTTCTTTTATTTGCTTTGTAAGTTGCTAATTTATAGAGAGGAATGGAAGATTAAGAAAAGCTAAAAGAGGCTAAAAAATGGGGCATTCCGAGAATCGAACTCGGGACCTCTCGCACCCAAAGCGAGAATCATACCACTAGACCAAATGCCCATATTTATTATTTAAAATTTTAACTTATTAATTAAGCAAAATACACAATTCTTTAATAGAAAGTGTAAATTCCTATTTTAGCAGTTTAATATTTCAGTTTTCACATTCTTGACCCTTTTTAATAATCAATCACATGATAAAATGATTCCTCAAAAAATAATAGACACAAGGAAAGAAACACATTGCCATCACGTTTTTATTATTTATTATTTTAAAAAAGTGCTTTTTCTATATAATGTCGGTTTTGTTCTTATAGATACTCATATTTTTCTACTATATATCACTCTTCTTTCCATCTTATCTATTTTTCTCTTCACAATCTCTCCTCATCCTCTTAATTATCATCTTTTTTCTTCCACCTTGTTCACTCTCTTTGTGACTCTGTATCAAAGTAACTTTTTATTTGCATACCAAAGTAAATTAATAAAAGCTACTCAACGATTGTTATTTAATTATCTCTATTTTAAAAGACCGGCCATTTTTTATATTTTAAAATATTTGTCATTTATTAAAAGACAGTTTCAGAATTAGGTATTTTTAAATAGATCTGAATAAAAAAGAAAATTGTTTAGCCAAAAAAATAATCATTCTTTTTTTTTAAATAGCATGTAATATATTTTGTAAATTATTATCTTAATGTTTTTATCTTATTACTTTTTTCAACCTTTGAAAAAGTAAACAAAATCCGCTGGAAAATAAATTAATGCTATCTCACATTTTTCGAATGAAATAATAGATATTATCTTTTTAAACTTTAGGATTCCTTACTATTAGTACTAAAACAAGTTATTTAGAATTCTCTTTTTTTTTTTAATTCTGGGATTCCTTATAGATTTATGTATAAAAAACAAGTTATTATCATAACTAGTCCTTGAATGGTCACTTTTCTATCCTTCTGTTCCACACGATAAAATTGTCGGTAAATGTTTTTTTCTTTTTTCAATTGTTAATTTGTGAAATTCAACCTCTAAAAAAAATTATCTCTATAGCACAATATATGAAAATTTTATAAAAAATAGTTACATTAGAGGTTGTTTGGTTAGGGAATTTGTCCCCTGATTCGAATCATGGTTCGTTGTTCGCTACAGTATTTTCTCTCATAAAAAATACACGTAAATCGAAAATAATTATAATCACATGGTTTTAATTCATGAACCAAACGTCTCCTATGTAAAATATGTTAAACTTCGAGGATTTTTACATGTTATATAGATAATTCACTAAACTCTTAAGTTTTCACACTATGTATATATCGTTTACTATTAGTAAGTTTTAAAAATTAATCATCAATCTGTCATGGATCAAAATTGCTAAAAAGTCATAATTTAATAACTAATTTATCAAAAAACTAAAATGATAGCTTTGTACTTTTAGTTGTTAAAGTGATATTAAAAATGGTTTGTTTTGTATTTTTTTAATTTAATGTAATTTTGATTATATCAATAGTTAGAAACTCAACTTATTGTAGAAAATCCTTCGAAAGATTGATGCTTCGTTTATTTCACTGATTTGAGTTTTTATTTTAATTTTGTTATAGTTAAAAGTTCTTATAAAAAGTTACATCTAATTTTTTTTTGATACAGTAAAAAATTTTCACATAAATCACATCTTAATTCAAATTAAAAATTTAAATTAATAAATAACAAACGAGATAGTATCAAACCATTGGGGTGCACTTTCCCCCTACCGGTAGGGTGCATTAATGACCTCTGGATTTAAATTGGACGGTAAAAGAAGGTGAATGTGTACTAAGGCTCCGTTCATTTCACTGATTCGAGTTTAGAATTCGAGTTTTGCTACAGTAAAAAACTCTCATAAACAATCACATCTAACTTTTTTGCTACAGTAAAAAGCTCTCACATAAAATCGCATCTCAACTCGAATTAAAAACTCAAATCAGCGAACTAAACGGGCCCTAAATTAATATGAAACCTCTCTCGTATAGGATTTCAATGCCAGATTTAACATTTAATTTTTTTATAAAAAAAAAAGTACAGAAAACTGATGGCGATGTTGTGTTCTTCATTGCCGATGAGCTCTTGCCAGTGGAGATGCCGAGGATTCGCCCCCCTTTGAGAGGGATGTTGGGTTCGAGGGGGCCGGAGTCGCTCGCATCGCCTTGGAGAGATGAAGATCGATTCGTAGGAGTTCGAGATCTCCGTCGATCGGCGTTCGTGAGGGAGCATGGTCGCCGTTTGTCCTGATGAGAGATTGGGAGTAGATGGGCATAGAGGAAGAGGGAAGATAGAGAGAAGGGAGATCGAGGGAGCGTGGCCACCGTTCCTCATGACCATCGATGGCATCTACGATTATTATTATTTTTTTTCAAAAATGAAAATTTATTTTAGATGACGTTAGGTATAAGTATTCAGAATCATGATTTAAAATTATTCTCATTTTACGTATATATTTTATGATAAAAAATATTATAAAGAATCATAAATCATGATTTAAAATAATGGACAAATATAAAAAACAAACATTCTAATTCATTGTCGTACTTCTTAATTCTTCTTCTTCTTTTTATTTTTCTATTTAGTTGTAACCACCCCACCGCCAAACTCTGTTGAGTGCGGATTCAAAGATGTGCCCAACTGCCACCACGCTACAAATTTCTAAAATCTCGTTCCTCTGCCGATTTAAGTTGAGATATAATATTTTTTTAAAATTTTTAATAGTGTGATATTTCTTTTAAAAATTTAAATTGTAAAAATTAAAAATTAAAAAATTAAATTAGTGAAATGAATAAAATGTAAGAAGACGAAGTTAGAATTTATTACATTTTTTTATGGGACAAATTTATGCATTTATGAATTTAGAATTCGACTTTAACTCCAAAATGCGTTGGTTTGTAGGTAATTTAAGATGTGTTTGATATGAGAATTTGTGTCATAGTTTAAATTATAGTTCGTGAATCGCTATAGTATTTTTTCTCATAAAAAACACACATAAACTGATAATAATTTTGAATCATGATTCTGAATCCGTGAACTAAACGTCCATTTAGTTATAGTTATTGGGAAAATGTTGTGGATTGAATTTGGAAGAGTTAATCGCAGGCAGGATAAGGGGAGGGGAGCGAAGAAGAGGGAAAGGAAGGCTGTGTTTGGAGTTGTTTTTATTTTTATTTTTTATGTTTTTTGAGAAAGAAAAAATGAAAATGAGAGAAAAATGACGTTTGATACAATTAAAGACAAAAAAAAGGAAAATGAAAATGATTTTTTTGTTTAGTGTAAAATGGGAGAGTAATGAAAAACGACTTTTAGTTGTTTTTTATTTTTTATTTTCATTTTATCATCTCTCGAGTAGAGAGAGACATTAATGAATTTTTTATACTGAAAATAATCTATTGATAACACTACTAAATGTATTTTTAAAAATGATTTATGTTTGAAATTGAAAGCGTTTTCATTTCCATTTCCATTTTCATACAAAAATAAAATCATTTTAAAACGAATTTCAAACGCACCTAAAAATGTTTTTTTTTTATATTGTTTAATCATGTGTATTTTTAGTTTTGATCTAAAGGTGCATTTTTTAATCTAATAAGACGTTTAATTTATAAATTCAGAATTACAACTCATGATTTTAATTTTTAAAATTTAAATTTTTTATAAGAGAAAAATAATATTAAAAACTAATAACTATGATTTAAAACTAAAGATAAACCCTTTAAACAAACATGGCATCAACTATTCAAAACTAATCCCATAAACTATTCAAAACTAATCCCATAAACTATTCAAAACTAATCCGATGGCTTACAAATTCTGACTCAAAAAGTACATTCTCTACGATAGATTTTCCTTTTTTTTTTTTTTTTTTTTGAAAAGGAGAGTATCAAACTTTATTCCATGGATTTATCACATTGGCCCACAAAATCCATTTTACGAAAGGAAATTCGTTATATATTATATATATATATACACATACATATATACAGAGTTACAAATCTCTCTTTTTCAAGGGTTTTGAGGGATGGGCTGCGTATCAACCATAACCAGCAAAATCACTGGGCTTTTCATGGCGGAGAAGAAGAGGCCATGGTCCGATCTTCCCTTCGAACTCCTCTCCCAAATCTCCGATCGCCTACACCTAATCGATTTGCTCCGCTTTCGCGCCGTCTGCAAGCAATGGAAAGTCGCTTCTTCGACCTCCACCGCCGAGTCCGAATCCTCTCCGGGCCGACAGCCGTGGTTTCTCATGTACGCCGACGGTTCTCAGTGCCGTCTGATAAGCGAAGCCGCAAAGAATTTCACCGTCGACGTCCCGGAGCTTGACGGCGGCGCTACCTGCCTCGCCTCCAGCCACGGCTGGCTCCTGGTGCTGCAGAACCATGGCGCGATCTTCTTCTTCTGCCCATTCTCCAGAGCCAGAATCGATCTCCCGAGACTCGACGGACCGGAGCTCTCCGACCTCGACGTGGCGGTGTTCTCCGCGCCGCCGTCGTCCCGCGACTGCGCCGTGGCGGTGGCCCGCCGCAAAAGCCCCAGTGTTTTGGGATTGACTCTGATCCGCCGCGGGGAGGAGAAGTGGACGGTGCTTGAGTTCTACGCGTCGCTGTCGACGACCGTGAGTTGCGGCGCGTATCGCGGCGGATCGTTCTATTTCTTTGATAGCAAGGACGGATTGGCGATTTTCTCCCTCGAGAGTCAGGAGCTGAAGACCTATCGCGTGGTTCCTCCCCGCAGTCCAAACGACACGAAAAACGCCAGTACGACGGAGAAGATTCCGTTCTCTTGCCACAGGGACCAATTGAATGACAAGAAGTGGGCGGCGATCCCCGACGACGTTTCCATCTCCACTTGCGGGACGTTTGTGAAGTCAAACGACAATGATTTTGTTATCTTTAACGAGAGTCTTGGGGAGCAATCCGATGGTCGTCGCCTTAAAGGAGTGTGGATCCACCCCAGATTCTTTCAAATCTCTAAAGATGAGATCAGTTGGTAAGAGGGAACTTTCTTGGCTTTTATGGTAGATATGGTAAAATTGGTACTCTATTTTCGCTTGTTATTCTCCTCTTTAGTAAGACAATTTAGAATATAGTAAGTTGTTAGTCAACTTCTTTTGATGGGCTATCAATTTTTTTTTTTTAATGGTTCTACATGTCAAACGTTCAAAGTTTATAAATGCATTTATTTATTTATTTTTTCAAATGCCATTTAAGGATTGCAAGTATGTCCTTTTTATATATAGTATATCATAATCTCAATAGTAGTGCTGAGAATTCTTCCTCAGGTACAGTTGAACAACCTTTTCTTTCATAATATGTTCGGCCATAGGGGATGCAACAAGCATCAACAATTTCGTTTTTAACTAAAAAGTATTAAACTAAATCTATACGAAAAGATTAAATATTAAAAAATCTATAAAAAAAAAAAACTAAACAAAATAATTAAAATACAAAGAATAATATCAGCTGTTAGATCAAAGATGCTTTAATCTGGACCATTGAACCAAAACCTTAAATGCCTAAAGAAAACCTACATTGCACTTAACAAAGCCGCATTGGTGATAGAAGGAGAGGAGACGACGCCTTAGGTTTTTTTTTTTTATTTTTATTTTAATAATGGTTTTTTGTTTTAGTTTCTTCTTTATTATTATTTTAATATTTAATAAATTTTTAAAGACAAATGTTTTAGTTAATTTCTAATGGTATGTCGTGTCAGTAAATCTTTTCAATGGCAATGCCGCATCAACAAATATGTTAATGTTATAGACGGAATTGAATAGAGGGACATATTGATTTATTTTTTATAGAAAAATCGATGGCACTTTGAAAATTGATCCATGTTTCAAGGGTAATTATGAAAATAATCATTAATAAATATATATATATATATATATATTAACGTCAATGTCGTCTATTGAGAACCCTTTTAAAAAAGTTTTGTTCTTACATTATATTGTTGTTCCAAATACATCATAGATCGTGATGGGTTTGCCAATGCCATGTAACAATTCGGATTTGAATTTAGTCGATTTAATTATTATTATTATTTTGAAAGATAGATGTTTCTAAGAGACAAATTTTTAAGAGTGTAAAAGGAAATTTTGCTCAATGGAGAAACACCGAAAAAGTCAAGAAATGCAAAGACGGTTAATTATTTAGGGGTTGTTCTTTTGCAACAAAACTCAGAAAAAATTTAAACTCAACTTACAACTTTATTCAAGTTCACATTTTTTTAAGTTCTAACTTTATTCAACTTTACTCAACTTTATTCAAGTTACAACTTTAACTCAAGTTATAACTCAAATTCAACTCAAAAATTACATTCAAGTCACACTCCAAAAGAATAACCCCTTAGCTTCGCACACAAATCGCACCGATGTTCAACTTTTTTGTTTGCTGAGTGCTGTTAGGTTTTTTTGTTGGCATTTATGGCAACAATATTGAAGAAAATATTCTGCAATTCTAGTTACTTGTTGTGAAAAAAAAAAAAAGTGTAAGACACATTTGAATTTTAAGAGAAGATTCTATTAGATAAATTTTAGAGATATGCATTAGCTAGAATTATAGAGAGATAAATTCAAAAAAGATATCTAGATATGCACTGAAGATATACTACATCTTTCAAAGAATTTAAGAGATCTGGAAAAGATGGAAAGATTTGAAAGAGATAATCCTAATATAAGTTGAATTCGAAAAAAACTAAAGTAAGGATTTAGTTATGGTTCTATAAATTCCCAGAGAGTTTTAATTTCATTATACGATATTTTTGCTGAAGATTTGGGAAGAAAAATCAGATAAAGATTTTGATTTATTTTAAAAATCAAAATTAATAATGTTACAACTATGTCTCAATAAATCGTGAGACAAATCTGTAATTTTCAAATTTTGAGAGATCCGTATTCAAAAATTGACCTAGGATTTCAAGCTGATCTATAGAATACTCAAATCATATGTGATTGAAGGCTTCTAGAATTTACACACGATGTACTTTGAGAAGGATACTCACGTATATAACTTTGAGTATTTTTATTCTACATTCTTCAGGATAAAAAGTTGTTGTCTTTAAGGAAAAACAATTTACAGTGTTGAAGGGAGTTTAACCAATCATCATTTTTTGAGAGAAGAATTGACTCTCTTTAGAAGAGGACGATTTGCAATTTGAAGCAAGTTTAAGTGTGCAGACATTAAAGACGAGTGACGCTCACTGAACAAAGCTGTTCAGTTTATTATACACGACGACAACACAAAATCAAAGAGGGAGTATTTATTTGTACAAGTCTTAATAGTGTTTGTAAAAGTTGTGACCGAATTAGACTGTTTTTAAAATGAGATTGGACATAATTGACCGTATTAAACCGCAGTTAAAACTGTTATGTGTTATTTAAAAAAAAAAATAACAAAATCGTATGTTACATAATATATATTATCTTTTAAAATTAGCATTCTAAAAGTTTTAAACATCACTAATATGTAGTCCAAAACAAAAGTACATAACTATTTACTAATAATACTACAATCATTCAACAGGCCACAATACTAACAAGCAATCTAAAGCAAAAAAAAAAAAAAAAAGTCCATAATTACAATAAAACCTCTATAAAACAATATTGTTGGAACTAAGAAAAAAATATTATTTTAGCAAGCTTATATATTTATTGATAAATTAATAATTTATTAGTTTGTTGGTAAATGAATATTTATCAATTTAATAAGAGTTTTATATTTTAATGACTTTTACCATTTTGGTATATGTATTAGTATTTTGATTAAGATTCACGTATGAGTTATAAATAAAATAAATAGTGGATGTAGTCAAAATTAACTAGAATTTCAAAGTTATCATGTATATAACAAATGTTATATATATGTACATAGAAAGCCAAAACTTAATGTAAGTATATTGTAACTAAAAATGATATTAAGTACGTACATATATAGACATAAAATTGATGTACGCATTTTTTAAATTTAATACCTAGAAGATAAGTGCTGTGTTTGGAGTTGTTTTTGTTTTTGTTTTTCACGTTTTTTGAGAAATAAAAAATGAAAACGAAAGAAAAATGGCGTTTGGCACAATTAAAAACAAAAAATGGAAATGAAAACGATTTTTTGGTTTAGTGTAAAGTGAGAGAGAAATGAAAAATGACTTTTAGTTATTTTTCATTTTTTGTTTCTGTTTTCTCCTCTCTTGAGCAGAGAGAGAGACGTTAATGGATTTTTTTATACTAAAAACAATCTATTGATAAAACTACTAAACGCATTTTTAAAAATAATTTATATATGATATTGAAAACGTTTTCATTTTTATTTTCATACAAAAAATAAAATCATTTTAAAACGAGTTCCAAACGTGCCCAAAGTATTTTAGATATTTGAAGTACACAAAACATATTATCATTAGTTTTGTATCACATCTAGAATTTTTCATATTTTGGAAAATAATTAAATTGAGAAAATTGAAGTTGTCAATGAAAAAAAACATTAATATTATGAATTTTATATGTGATTTATTTTTTGTAGTTAGTTGATTATTGATTTATATTTTTATTGGGTGTTATTAATTTAGTACATTGGTCAAAGTCGGGACCGAAAGGTTTCATTATTTAATCAAAGTTATTAATTTATAGAACATTCATTTTTTGCGGTTTTACTGTAATAATATTACAATCATCCGAAATCAAAATGTAATAAATAATAACAACATGCAATCCAAAATAAAAGTTCATAACTAATAATATTACGGTCATCCAAATTCTAAATATAAATAACGAGTTTTTTTTTATTTTTTTAAATATATATCCTTAATGGTCTTGTTTGGATTGTTAGAAAAAATTGTAAATCGGACTGGGCTGTTAAATAATCCAGTCCAATTTTAAACTATTTGGTCGAACTGATAGTCTAAAAATCGTCGATTCAGTTTGAACGGGCAGTTTGAGCTAAACTGTGCAACCTTGTACACAGAAGTGGCCAGACCCACCTAGCAACTGAATCATGTTATTTATTGGTGTACAATTTTTCAGGATAATGGTTTTTAACAGTTTGTTGTTGTTATTGTTTTTGTTTTAATTAATGAAGTTTCTCTAGTAAGACAAAAAAAAAAAAATATATTAGTATTTTTTTTTCAACAGTTATATCTGTATAAAAAAATTATATATTTTACATATATTTTAATTAAATTCAATCATCAGAAACTCTTTTAAAAGTCCAAAGTGTTCCATTCCAAACAAAGTGGCAGTGACATCAGGGGCCTTCTTGCATGATAACAAAAGAGAAAATAAGGAAAATACTTTTCAAATATGTATCCCAATCTATTTCCAATCTTAAATATTAGTTCATTAATTTCTATTATTTTACAATTAAAATAATAAAAATAGTTAAATTAAATATTTTTAAAATTTTAAAGTTACTCTCAATAATTCATTGGTAAATTATAAAATAAACCGGCGGTCTCCCGTCTCTAGCAGGCCGCTAATGGGTATTTGGATGACTCATCATAACTTGAAAATTATGATCCATAACATGATAAATTACATTAACCATCAGCGGGTCTCTGGCCATAACCTGACAGATTATGATTTATAATTTGACAGGTTACACCGGGTGCCGACCTCTGGTCACCAGGATTAGTTATGTATGATCCACAATCTATATTTTAATCTTTTCATTTTATGATGAAAATATCTCATATAAATGAAAGAAAGGAGTATAGTTTTTAAAAAGGGTATAATTAAGAGGTTTAGTGATTATGGGGTAAAATATGTAATTTTCTCGTTAAAAAATCAAATGTTGAATTCAAAAAACCCAATTATAATGGTCTCGTTTATTTTATTGATTTAAATTTAGAATTTGAATTTTATTATCGTAAAAAATTCTCAAAAATAATTACATTTAATTTTTTTATTATAATAAAAAATTCTCATATAAAATCATATTTTAACTCAAATTAAAAACTCAAATCGAAAACAAAACAGGCTCAAAATGCACGAGCACTTAGGCCCTGTTCATTTCGTTGATTCGAGTTTTGCTATAGTAAAAAGCTCTCACAAACAATCACATCTAACTTTTTTACTATAATAAAAAACTCTCATATAAAACCACATCTCAACTCGAATTAAAAATTTGAATCAGTAGCGAACTAAACGGCTCTTAGATTACTGGATCTCGGACCCACTCGAAGGAAATAAACCGAAAAAAAGCCGCCAAAAGTGATTAGTGTTCTCAACTAGGCTCAGACACCAGTCACCACCATTCAGGACAAGGACAAGGGTTTGTTGCTTCTTTCTCCTTCTCTTAGGTTTTTATGCGGACAAGAATGCTCAGGTAGGGATTCCCTTTTCTAATTTGTTCGGCTTACCAATTCGTTATGCTTATTGTGCAAAAGAAGGGAATTTCACTCTTTTCTGCTCCTAGGAATTCATCGTTGTCTTCAAATTAAGAATTTGCTGAAAACCCATTTGCTCATAACGTTGATAATTATTAAAACAGCCAAAAAGTCGCCGTTTCGAGAGGTTTGATTGCTCAGATCTTCACCAGGGGAGTGTCCTCGCAGACTGGGAGTGGGAGGTTTGTCAAGCTCAAAATGAACCTAATTTTTTTCCTAAGAAAAACCAACCTTATTTGCATTGTCTCAACTTCACTCTCAGTATTATTTTTATTTTTATTTTTTATTTTTATTGAAGGAAGAGGAAGAATTTCTGATCTTATGTTGTTCGGATGTTCTTGTCGTTCTTAGGAAGTTTTTGTGCAATTTTCGCGTACATGGTATCGTCGTTTTTAAATGCTGTCGTTTACGTTATTTGCAAGTTTTGTCGCTTATCTTGTGATGTCGTCCTTAGAAGATGATGCCGTGTAATAAAATTGTGTTGATTCAGCTGTCCTTGTTTTTTGTGGAAAATTTTGTCGTCTGCATGTTAAGGTCGTCTTCAGGATATTGTCGTTTTTTAAATATCGTCGTTTCTTATCGCAGTGTTGTTCTAATTAATAGGTTCAATAAGTATACATGATAAATGTTATTTTACTTGTTTTTATGGACTTTGTTATTTTTTTGTCGTATGTGCTAATTGTCTATAAATAGACGTTGTCGTTTTAAAGACATTTTGTCCTTTACGTTAGAAGACGTTTTTTTTAGGGCAATCTTATCCCTGATTGTACTTCTTGTGTTCATCGAATTATTATCGTTTATGTTTTAAATGCCATCCATACAGACCCCAACTCTAATTAAATGCGGTCGTTACCGTCGTCGTTTCTAACAAATTTTGTCGTTTTTCATAAATATTTATATTCATTTATTTTTTTGAAATGAGACAAATACTCTTTTAAAGTCAAGATTTTACTTCTTATTCTTAATTAATATCTTTTTATTGAAATAAATATATTAGTTGAAAGGGTATTAAATAAGAGTAAAAGGTAAAAATTAAATCTATGCACTTTTAAGAATAAGTTCTGTAATTTTATCTTTAGTTATTCTTTATTATTTATTTTTTCACTAAGTTGTCCTTTCTCATATGTGATTTTATGTGGAACGTCGTTTATTGATGTTGCCGTCTACCTTAATTCTTGTAGTTTCTGTTGTTGTTGCCTTATTTTAATTATTTTTGGTTTTGAACAAAGTTAAATTTTTTTATAGATTAAATAACCATAGTTATAATTTTTTTTTCTTTATCAGGTCAGTGATACCACAAATAATTATAATATACATTATTATGATAGGTTTTAATTGCTAGAATAACCTAGCATATAATAACACACAAAGAAAAGAAAATGATTGTAATTCGTACCAGAAATACATTTCTTTTTATACTGCTTAATAAAAAAGATTAGCCCTTTCAAGTAAGTGTGCTGTTCTAGGACGTCGGCGTTTTCAGAAAACGTTCTTATCTTTTTTTGTTTTTTTTGTTTGAAGTGTTCAGAAAACGTTCTGTATTTTGAACACTCGGCGTTCATTGAATTGTTGCCGTTTTTCACATCCTTGTCGTTTATAATAAAACAGGCTTCAAGGCAAAGTGGCACTGATCACAGGAGCAGCAAGCGGCATAGGCAAAGCAACCGCAACAAAGTTCATAAACAATGGCGCAAAAGTCGTCATAGCCGACATCAAACATGATCTGGGCCGTGCCACGGCTGAAGAGCTCGGCCCCAACGCTGTCTTCATACCCTGCGACGTCACCAAGGAGTCTGACATCTCTGCCGCTGTGGACTTCACCCTCGCACGCCACAACCAGCTCGATATAATGCACAACAACGCAGGGGTGCCCTGCAACACTCCACCAAGCATCTCAGACCTCGACATGGCGTCGTTTGATCGGATCATCGACGTCAACCTGCGGGGAGTCGTGGCGGGGATAAAGCACGCGTCTCGCGTCATGATCCCGCGGAGGACCGGCACCATCCTCTGCACGGCCAGCGTCACGGGGATCATGGGGGGCATGGCGCAGCACACGTATTCAGTGTCCAAGTCCGCAGTCATTGGCATTGTCAAGTCCGTGGCTTCTGAGCTCAGCCAGCACGGGATCAGGGTGAACTGTGTGTCGCCATTTGCGGTCCCAACGCAGTTCGTGTTGGGGGAGATGCGCCACCTCCTCCCGGGACTTGATGATCGCCGGATCGCGGAGATGATTCACAATGCAGGTGCTTTGAGAGGAGCAAATTGTGAGCCTGAGGATGTGGCCAATGCAGCTCTTTATCTTGTCTCGGATGAGGCTAAGTATGTTAGTGGGCATAATTTAGTCGTGGATGGAGGTTTTACAGCCTTCAAGAGCTTGGGACTTGCCATACCAAATGAGGAGAAATGAAAAATAGACGGGTTTGATTTTTTTTATTCCATGTACCACCACTTAAAAAAAAAAAAAGCTATTTTATAAACTTCATTGGTTTTGATTATTTTCTTCTGTGCCTTTATGTTATTTCGGCAATTATAACAAGTAGCACAAGTTATTATCTTATAGTGTAATGGTCAGTAACTTTAACAGGTGATAATTATTGACATGACAGTGACATAAAAAGAAATAATCAAAACCAGTATTACTTGTTAAATATATTTTATTAGTGTTATAGAAAACTTAATCCATCAATCACAATTTACATACAATGTTTTGAGATTTCTATTGTTGTGACACTAGTTTATGAGAGTAAAGAAGATCATAACAATTAGCAAGTGACTCTAATTTCTAGTATCAAAAATTCTCCCCTCAATTACTCATACACGTGCAACCACTCCTATGGTGCTTGCAATTGACTACTTGCCACCCCCACCCCCACCTTTTTTTTTTCTTTTATTAACTTTGTACATAAATAGTGGATTGTAACCTGGATTACTTTACTCTTTCATAAATCTCCCACATGTGTTTACCACTAATATATCAAAACTGTTCTTGAACCAACTTGCGCATGATATCTTCAGGAGCTGCAGATAAGGCAATATAAAATGTTGAGAACTTGAAGTAGACAAAAGGGCTTTTATAAACTTTTGGAGTTTTCTAATTGAAGTCAATGAAGATGTTTCAAGCAAAGCTGGAGGAAGAAGTTGTACATACCGGGGCCGCCAGTGAACAATTTGAACTGCCCAAGGGCCTGCCTGATGAACATCTCAACTCCACTCACCACAATGGCCCCGACCTCCTCTGCCTCGCGCAAGAGCCGCGTAATTCTAGGAGTGTAAACCGCGTCGAAGACCAGCTTGTACGCCCTTAAAGCCTCCTGCACAATTATGAACAGGTAAGCACAGATTGGATACTACATGTATGCCAGTGTGTATATCTACTAATACATTCTACATTGTGCTTGATATAGAAAGAAACCTTTGGAACGGGACTTCTGTCTGTATGCGGTTCCATGCCAATGGCAGAAGCATTTGCAAGTATCATCCCATCCTCGGGGCAGTAGCTGTCTAAACACTCGTACGGAAGAGCTTCCCCGGAAACCGCTGCTGCTAGAGCTTTTGCTCTCTCTATTTGAAGATTGTCTCAGTCAGAGATTCATGAATTGCTTTCATATAATGCTAAAAAGATAGAAGCAACATTGTTTACCAAATTTTCGGTTGAAAACGACAACCCGAGCTCCTCTTTCTTTGGCTCCAAATGCCAGTGCTCTTCCTGCTCCTCCTGCTCCCACCAAAACAAATATCTTCCCTGCTATCGGAGAAGAATGCGATATACCCCCATTCTCAACTTCTCTTTCTGTTTCATCCAATTCAGATGTGGATAGATGATTTTAGCTAGAGAATCAAACATATAATCGACACGGTTTCTATCAAATTCTCCTCTCAAGGTGACCTATAATTAAGATTCTGCTAAATTGAACTTCTGAAATAGTACTGGAAAGCAAATGACTTCAGAAATTCTAGCAGTTTGCTAGTTTACCAATTCTCCCAAAAACTCAAGCGATTACTGTGAATAATGATAATTTTAGCTCGTACAATAACAAGGACTTGAACTTAGGACCTCCAAGTGTGATGTCATGTTAGTTTATCAATTCTCTCTAAAGCTTAAGCGATTAAGAAGTGGGCAGTTTTATATTCTCACAACTTCCAATACCAGAAGTGGGCTATATCATTTCTCCTAAAAGTCACAAAGATGCAATGAAAGCGCATTGAAAAGGGAAAAGAAGACTTGGTAATATGCAATACCTCTTAGTGCATCCTCTATTGCAGTGATACAAGCCATACAATCTGTATTGTAACCAACCAGCTTTCCATCAGTTGGCCTTCTTACTATGGTATTTACAGCTCCTATGGACTGAAACCAAGAGCAAATCGTTCCAACCCTTGACTGCTAAGTATACTGACAACTAATTTCCATTCAAATGTAATGCATATGGCCCTAGTTTGGTAAGGGAAAATTATGAGGCCAAAAAAAAGTTTATCATTTCCTAGAAAAGGATAGTAAAGCTCATAGTCTCCAAACCTTAGCGAGCGGATGGACTTCGTCACAACACGCCACCGCTGCTTCCTTGTGTGGTATTCCAACACTGGTTCCATAAGGAGAGAAACCGACAATGTATCACCAAAACAGTTTATGCAAATAACTTAAACAATTTAGAATTGATACAAATACCTTCAGCAATACATATGAATATCATAGTAAAAAGTAATGAGATACAAAAGGACTTGAAATGAAGAACTGATGCTTACCTGAAACCTGCAAAGTCCATGCTTTCATAGGTTCTGAAGAATTCCTTGAGATTATCAACCAGCAAAGGAACATAAATTCCATTGTATCCGATATGTCTAAGGGCATAATTGTGTAGAAGAGGGCTTTTACTATGGCTGACCGGATTCGAAACGAGGCCAAAAATTTTTGTCCATGGATTTACATGGTCAAGTTTATAAACTTGTTTAAGGCTAAGCAAAGTTGGTATGCCAGGAATTGTCTGGCTTTTGAGACAACCATAGACTAGAAATCCACCAAATTTTGGGGCTAATAGTTGGCTTATAAGACCTCTACTACCCACTGCTGTAGCAATTAAAGGAACCTGCATTATTTACACCAAAATGGATTTCGTGTTCGTGTAAAATGTTAGTTTACCAATTTTCTGAAAATTAGGAAGTAGTCCAATTATAGTTTTTTATTCTAATATAAAATGGCAACTTTAAATTAATAGAGTTAATAGAATTGTTTCATTACCTGAGAATGAGTAAGCATTTGGAGAATTGGAGCTACTTCTGTGATGTAATTTACTTCAACTATGAGTTTGACCACATCTGCTCCAGTTGATTGCATACAAGCAATCAGATTACCAAGTCTCTCTCTTGAAGGTCTCTCACCATTTACATAGCTTGATACAATAATTTGACTATTGGAAGGCTTGTCGTTTTCAATCATAATGATATCAGAAGCCACCTAAAAACAAATTCCGTTTTATTTAATGCAAAAAGAACACTAGCCCTCATATGAAAAATGTATGAAAATTTTCAAAGGCATATAGCTTGAAGAGAAACTTTCAAAGTTAAAGAAAGAACCATTAAAATATAAATTTTGGATGACGATGGAGTACATCATATCCCGTTGTATCCTGACTTATAACATTCTTTCTTAATTTTGGTATACTTTACAATATCTTATCAAAGCTCAGAGAATAATCTTCCAAAATTAAAAATTTAAAGGTTAACTTGCCAATCCACTGAAGTCCTAAAAAAATACTAAAAACAGAAAAATAAAATTTGAAATGCATATATAGCTTGTTTGAAGCAATTGGTGTCGCATGTCAATGAATATGGTGTGTGAATTGTAATAATACCTCATAATCTATTTCAACGAATTCTACATCTAGTTGGAGTGCCACTCTCAATACTTGCAAGCCAGTGTTCTTGGAAATGGAATCAACTTTGCCACCGTTCGTTGATTCGTTGACTCTGCCGAGATGAGAAACGACACAATACATGTCATGCTCTTCTAGATTTCTTTATCTTCACGGTGTCATAGCAATCTTTTTTTTTTTCCCTTTCTTTTTTTGTTTTAATGAAAGCACTTAATGGTTCCGGAAATAAAAAATGCTATGCTATGATTCTACACAATGATATCTTGCAAGTATAATATCCCTAGTAACACTATCTAAGCCATATTGGACATCATATATAACACAAACAATTGGGACAATAAATAATAATAATTAAGCAGTAATAATAATAATAATAATAATAAAGTGGTAATAATAATAAAGCAGTAATAATAATAATAATTAAACAGTAGTAGTAATAATAATAATAATTTTCTAACTAGACTTTTTTTTTACCCCTCCGGATTAGTATTTTACAGCAAGAACTTTAAAAAAAGGGTATTTTACAGCGCGGAAATTACAGCTTAAACAAATAAACGAAGGAAAAATTCAGCGGATGCATAAAAGTTTGGAGGCTGTAATGGGCACTTCAGCGACAAGCAAATAAAAGCCACTTCTTGACAAAATAACAACGAAACAATAATAATAATTCCGTTTATTTTAATCATTTAAGTTTAAAATTTAAATTTTATTATAATAAAAAATTATTATAAAAAATTATATTTATTTTTTTATTATAATAAAAATTTATAATATAAAATCACATCTTAATTTAAATTAAAAACTTGAATAAACAGGCCTAGTAAATCAAGAAAATCGTCATTTTTTCTTTCCGAGAACGGAGAAAATACTAGCCAGTAGCCACTTAGCCACGCACATGCTCGTCTTTTCTCCGCATGATTCCAACTATGGACCTGTCTTTGTACGTCCACTTTTCCAAATGTTGTTTGTTTGTTTGTTTTTTAGAATTTCTTAAGCAGATCTTAAAAAATAAATTGCATTAAAAAATGTCAATTTTACATAATTTTTTAATTTACTATGATTTTAATCGAATTTAAAATTTTGAAAATGATCCTCCCATTAAAAAGACTTTTACTTTTTTTTCAACGTACAAGTTACATGTATTTTGGCTCCACACCTACCCAATAATGCACCCCATCACATCGCAATTCTCTTCTTTTTCTTTATTTATTTATTTAATAATTTTGTATAATAAAGTACATCTCAATTTTGTTACTCCTAGACAATATTACTGATTTCATCTACCACGTGATTAAATGTGTTTTCAAATGTAATTATCGTACTAATCAATTACATCCAATAATATACCAACAATAAACTGATCCACACTCTTTACTTTTAATATTAAGATTTAGAGTTTAAATTTCTCATCTAAATAAAAAATACCGACACTAATATAATAAGTATATTTCTCTTCCACTGAATATCAGGCTGTTCACTGTTGCAATTATTGGTTAGTGGTAACTCATAAAATACCAAATTCTAAAAAATAAATATGTAAATAATATATTAGCTACAAGACAAGCCAAATGATTAGGACCCTACTGTACGAAAAAGAACCACGTATTTATAATTGTACAAAAGAAATTAAAGAGTACGGCCACCACAGATTCAAAGCTCTCATTTATCACCTGATTACAGGTTAGGTGAGGATGTAAATGTTTTTTTAACTTCAAGTACTCGTGATTTTAGTGTCTAATTAAAAAAGGATTGGTACGTGCATTTTGTACAAGCTAGACTTTTATTTTCCATTTTTCTCCCCCCACATTTTTATTAAAAAAAATATGCTTTCGGTGATTTCTTTCTAGAATGTTTTGTACGTCACTCCATTTAAACAAAAGAGGAGCGTCTCGAACCGTGAGCTATCTCACCCTCTTTGAAAAGTGAACTTATTTATTCACCATAAGCATTTATGCCATGTATTCAGATAATTCAAGCTCATAAATGATAAGCTATCGGCATGGTTTTTTTGAAGGTTAATTGCCAAAAGAAAAACGACACTTAGCTTAAGATTAATAATAATGTATGCTCCGAGAACTAGAAGAATGACACTTAGCTTTAAGGCTAATATTAATATTAATGCATGCTCCAATATCTTAACTTGGAAGAAAAAGAGGGGGTGGTACCTTAAAGAGAGAATTGTGGGGAGAGTTCTTTGGTTGATGAGGTTCTGAAGTTGGGAAATGTGAGAAAACGACATGGAACCAAGACGAAGCTCCACAATGTCTGCACCTTCTGCCTTGGCTTTGTCCATGGAAGCCAATGTTTCTTCCACGCTTCCACATTCTATTGGGGCGCAAATCAGCAGATTTTTGCAAACCAGCAGATTTTTCTGAAGTGCCATTGAGTTTGTGTGAGTAGTTAGTTAGAGAGAGAGAGAGAGAGAGAGAGAGAGAGAGAGAGAGAGAGATATGTAGTAATAATAGCACAGCCACCACTTGAGCTTTGGGTAGGTGCAGCCAAAGAAAAATCAGAACTTTGGTTGAGGGACTTTATACCAATTATGCCACTCTCCGGCGTCTGATTGGAGTTTTAATATTTTTTTTAGCAGAGAGATTTCAATGTTAGGAGTATGTTTATTTCACAATTCAAGTTAATAATTTAAGTTGTATGTGTGAGAGAAAAATATTATAATGAAAAGTTAAATTTGAGTTTTTTTTAAGAAAAAGCACAGTGAAAATTAAATTTGAGTTGTGAAAAAATAAGATATATATAATTGATTTATCTTATTTCCCTTTCTTTTTCATTTCATTTTAATTTTAGATGGGGATCAATATTGTTTTAGCTTTAAAAAAAAGCATTTTGCAACAAAAACAACTGGTGCGTGATAAGACCAATCCTATAAATTATAGGGGGAAAAATTGTGGTTCAAGTCTTTATTTTGAATAAAATATCAATTTGATAGCAACATCAATAATCTGACTAAATCATGCTTGTAGTGTCTCCTTTTTCTTGGGTGGAAAGTGAACACGTAGGTCATTGTTTGATTTATTTTATGTTTATTTCATTTTTTGGAGAACTGTTTCTGAATATAACTGCCGCCAATCAAATTTGGTTGAGGATTTGGGACAATTTTGCCAACCTGCTGTTTTATGGTATGCTTGTTTAATATTATTTTCTTTTTCATAAGAATAGTTCTGCCATTTTGTATTTTCAATTGGGGTTCTGATCTCGAGAATCCTGCCTCAGTGGGAGATCTTGTGACTTCCTTAAAAAAATCAAAACCGAGTATCTGTTATCATGACTTTTGAAGATCCTTTTAGTCCAACTACGATCAAATATGCATCGATTTAAGAGATTTGCTACAGTGGCGCAATGATTCTTTCACCCTCTTTGTAACGGCAGCGACACATGATGTAGCACAATAGAAATGTTACAACATGATAAAAAACAAACCCCTTCACATAGTACGTGATACAAAAAAAAAAAAAAATTATAATCTTGACGAAATTATCAAGTAACACGTGATAACATAAAATGCAATTTTACTGTCACTGGTAATAACTCCACGTGCCACTCTCTCATCTCATACATATATGATACATGGGTAGCATGTAGCATAGCTTTGCCCTTATTTTAGTTGCAAGAATCACACTGTTTTTTGCATCCCTTTTCTTGATTCTAGTTGTGATAGGGTGTGTACATCTATTTATTATAATAAACAGTACGATGAAGTGAATGACTTCTTCATTATTAAATTTATTAGATGAATTTTTTAGGAGCTTTTGAATCTCGAAGTGTTTATGAATTGTCTGTCCTAAAAAATAGCATCACGTGAAATTGAGACCATCAAGCACTAGGGACCCGTCTTGGGGGGCCAGAGTGGTGAAACTGAAACTGACATATTTGGCTCTTGCTTTTAACGTCTTCTGCAAGTTCAGCACAAGAGAACATCAAAATTGCAATTAGAAGTGGCAGAATAAGGACCTGACTGAACCCCATGTTCAAGGACTTGGTTGGTGGTTACTTCACTGCACAACTTCCGAGGAAGCCAGTCTTGAGAACGAGTTTCTTTTCATGGGTTGTCTTGTCTTCTTGCTTGGTCTTTGATCAAAGCTGCAGAATTAACTTAAAATGCATGAGGAATTTGAGGTTTCATGTCAAGTAATAACTTAACCTGTAACTCTTCATTTGGAATGAGAAACTAAACCAATAAAAGAAAACAGAACAAAATGGCAGTTTTTTTTCCCCACTGTTTGGAACACTCACTGTAATCGCCTCTTTTTACATGTTAAGCACTATGCCTTATTATGCATCTACAAGACAAAACAGAGGAAGCTGTACCATAAATGGGGACCAAAATAATTAATGACATATGTTGACGGTGAAATTTCGTCAACAAAAATACGTCAGATCACCTTCTGGTATCCCCCGTGGGGTTACCAGTTAGAAATTAACTGTATATTTGAAATTTTGCTATGAAGTGTTTGTTATATTTTTGGAAGCATGAGAATAATGCTTGAATGAGAGGACACCCGAAATTTATAGTTGTTCACTCTGTTAATGAAGAGCTACATCCATTTGTGTATTGTATTTCCTTTGGGCTCTTTTTAGATTACATAGAATCAACTCTCTATTATCTGATTACATATGAAAAATAGCCAAAAATCCTCTCCTCTTTCATTCGGGACCTTACCCCTTTTATAGCCTAGCGATTACTTCATAGGTGGTTTTTCTTAGTAGTCCCATCCACTTGAGTGGCCTACTAGCCTATGAGCCCAGACCCATAGCATGTCACCACATTTTTCACTGTTCACTCATCCAATTTGTCCCCTATTGCGACATCCCCCTTTAATCATCCACCGTCCATTAAAGGGTAGTTTATGGGCTTGTAATTAATGCCTGCATTACTGACATTCTTCAAACCCAGACGTAACTCATTTGTCCACTCAGGGACCTTTCTGGAGATGTGGACCCATGTTCACACGGTCGGCTACCTATGAGGCCTCTACTCCTTGGAAGGGTCGGCCGTCTGGAAGCCTCTCCTCCTTGGAAGGGTCGGCCTCATAGATGCCCTTTGGGGCTCTTGGCAGATTTAAGAACCTTCTTCATAGATGCCACTCCACGTTGGAAGGATCGGCCTCGTGGATGCCCCTTGGGGCTCTTGGCAGGTTTAAGAACCTTCTTCATTAAAGCCTCTCCTCTTTGGAGGGGTCGGCCTCGCGGATGCCCCTTCGGGCGCTTGGAAGGTTTACGAATCTTCTTCATGGAGGCCACTCCTTCTTGGAGGGGTCGGCCTCATGGATGCCCCTTGGGGTATCTGGGCAAGTTTAAGAACTTTCTTCATGGAGGCCTATCCTCCTTGGAGGGGTCGGCCTCGTGGATGCCTCTTGGGGCTCCTGGCAGGTTTAAGAACCTTCTTCATGGAGGCCGACCCATCCAAGAACCTTCTTCATGGAGGTCCCTCCTCCTTGGAGGGGTCGGCCTTATGGATGCAGGTTTAAGAACCTTCTTCATTGAGGCTTTTCCTCCTTGGAGGGGTCGGCCTCGTGGATGCCCCTAGGGGCTCTTGGCATGTTTAAGAACCTTTTTCATGGAGGCCTCTCCTCCTTGGAGGGGTCGGCCTCATGGATGCCCATTCGGACATTTGGCAAGTTTAAGAACCTTTTTCATGGAGGCCTCTCCTTCTTGGAGGGGTCGGCCTCATGGATGCAGGTTTAAGAACCTTCTTCATGGATGCCTCTCCTCCTTGGAGGGGGAGGCCTCAGGGATGCCCCTTAGGGCTCTTTGCAGGTTAAAGAACCTTCTTTATGGAGGCCTCTCCTCCTTGAAGGGGTCGGTCCCGTGGATACCTCTTGGGGCTCTCAGCATGTTTAAGTTCTTTATGGAGGTCTCTCCTCCTTGGAGGGGTCGGCCTCGTGGATACCCCTTGAGGCTCTTGGCAGGTTTAAGAACCTTTTTCATGTAGGCCACTCATCCTTGGAGGGGTCGGCCTTATGGATGTAGGTTAAAGAACCTTCTTCACGGAGGCCTCTCCTCCATGGATGGGGCGGCCTCATGGATGCCCCTTGTGGCTCTTGGCAGGTTTAAGAACCTTCTTTATGGAGGTCTCTCCTCCTTGGAGGGGTCGGCCTCATGGATGCCCCTTGGGGCTTTTGGCAGGTTAAGAACAATCTTCATGCATGCCTCTCCTCCTTAGAGGGGTCGGCCTAATGGATGCAGGTTTAAGAACCTTTTTTATGGAGGCCTCTCCTCTTTGGAGGGGGCGGCCTCATGGATGCCACTTGGGACTCTTGACAAGTTTAAGAACCTTTTTTATTGAGGCCTCTCCTCCATGGAGGGGTCGGCCACATGGATGCGCCTTGGGGCTCATGACAGGTTTAAGAACCTTCTACATGGAGGCCTCTCCTCCTTGGACGGATCGGCCTCATGGATGCAGGTTTAAGAACCTTCTTCACGGAGGCCTCTCCTCTTTGGAGGGGGCGGCCTCTTTGATGCCCCTTGGAGCTCTTGGCAGGTTTAAGAACCATCTTTATGTAGGCCTCTCCTCCACGGAGAGGTCGGCCTCATGTATGCCCCTTGGGGCTTTTGGCAGGTTTAAGAACCTTCTTCATGAAGGCCTCTCCTCCTTGGAAGGGGCGGCCTCATGGATGCTCATTGGGGCTCTTGGCAGGTTTAAAAACCTTTTTCATGGAGGGCTCTCCTCCTTGGAGGAGTCGGCCTTATGGCTGTAGGTTTAAGAACCTCTTTCGTGGAGGCCTTTCCTCCTTGGAAGGTGCGGCCTCATGGATGCCCCTTAGGGCTCTTGGTAGGTTTAAGAACCTTTTTTATGGAGGCCTCTCTTCCTTGGAGGGCTCGGTCTCGTGGATACCCCTTGGGGCGCTCAGCATGTTTAAGAACCTTATTTACGGATGCCTCTCCTCCTTGGAGGGGTCGGCCTCGTGGATTCCCCTTGAGTCTCTTGGCAAGTTTAAGAACCTTTTTTATGGAGGCCTCTCATCCTTGGAGGGGTCGGCCTCATGGATGTAGGTATAACAACCTTCTTTATGGAGCTCTGTCCTTTTTGAAGGGGTCCGCCTCATGTATGCCCTATTGGGCTTTTGGCAGGTTTAAGAACCTTATTCATGGAGGCCTCTCCTTCTCGGAGGGATCGGCCTCATGGATTGCTCATTGGGGCTCTTGGCAGGTTTAAGAATCTTTTTCATGGAGGCCTCTCCTCCTTGGAGGGGTCGGCCTCATGGTAGTAGGTTTAAGAACCTTATTCTTGGAGGCCTCTCCTCCTTGGAGGGTGCGGCCTCATGAATGCCCCTTAGGGCTCTTGGAAGGTTTAAGAACCTTCTTCATGGAGGCCTCTCCTCCTTGGAGGGGTCGGCCTCATGGATGCCCCTTGGGGCACTTAGCAGGTTTAAGAACACTCGTCATGAAGGCCTCTTCTCCTTGGATGGGTCGGCCTCATGGATGCAGGTTTAGGAACCATTTTCACGGAGGCCTCTCCTCCTTGGAGGGTGCGGCCTCATAGATGCCCCTTAGGGCTTTTGGCAAGTTTAAGAACCTTCTTCATGGAAGCTTCTACTCCTTGGAGGTGTCGGCCTCATGGATGCCTCTTGGGGCTCTTGACAGGTTTAAGAACCTTCTTCATGGAGGCCTCTCCTCCTTGGAGGGGTCGGCCTCAGGAATGCACGTTTAAGAACCTTCTTCATGGAGGTCTCTCCTCCTTGGAGGGGCGACCTCATGCATGCCCATTGGGGCTCTTGCCAGGTTTAACAACCTTTTTCATTGAGGACTCTTCTCTTTGGAGGCATCGGCCTTATGGATGTCCCTTAAGGCTCTTGGCAGGTTTAATAATCTTCTTAATGGAGGCCTCTCCTCCTTGGAGGGGCCAGCCCCATGGATGCAGGTTTTAGAACCATTTTCATGGAGGCCTCTCTTCCTTGTAGGGTGCGGCCTCATGGATGCCCCTTAGGGCTTTTGGCAGGTTTAAGACCCTTCTTCATGGAGGCCTCTACTCCTTGGAGGGGTCGGCCTCATGGATGCCACTTAGGGCTCTTGGCAGGTTTAAGAACCTTTTTCATGGAAGCCTCTACTCCTTGGATGGGTCGGCCTCATGGATCCCTCTTGGGGCTCTTGACAGTTTAATAGCCTTCTTCATGGAGGCCTCTACTCCTTGGAAGGGTTGGCATCATGGATGCAGGTTTAAGAACCTTCTTCATGGAGGCCTCTGCTCCTTGGAGAGGCGGCCGCATGGATGCCCATTGGGGCTCTTGGCATGTTTAATAACCTTTTTCATTAAGGACTCTTCTCCTTGGAGGGGTCGGCCTTATAGATGCTCCTTAGGGCTCTTGGCAGGTTTAATAACTTTCTTAATGGAGGCCTCTCCGCCTTGGAGGGGCCGGCCTCATGGATGTAGGTTTAAGAACCATTTTCAAGGAGGCCTCTCCTCCTTGGAAGGTGTGGCCTCATGGATGCCCCTTGGGGCTTATGGTAGGTTTAAAAACCTTCTTCATGCAGGTCTCTTCTCCTTGGAGGGATCGGCCTCATGGATGCATGTTTAAGAACCTTCTTCAGAGAGGCCTCTCCTCCTTGGAGGGTGCGGCCTCATGAATGCCACTTAGGGCTCTTGGCTGGTTTAAGAACCTTCTTCATGCAGACCTCTCCTACTTGTAGGGGTCGGCCTCATGGATGCCCCTTTGGGCTATTGGCAGGTTTAAGAACCTTCTTCATAAAGACCTCTACTCTTTGGACGGGTCGGCCTCTTGGATGCAGGTTTAAGATCCATTTTCATGCAGGCATCTCCTCCTTGGAGAGGTCGGCCTCATGGATGCCCCTTGGGGCTCATGGCAGGTTTAAGAACCTTATTTATGCAGGCCTCTCCACCTTGGAGGGATCGGCCTCATGGATGCATGTTTAATAACCTTCTTCATAGAGGCCTCTCCTCCTTGGAGGGTGTGGCCTCATGAATGCCACTTAGGGCTCTTGGCAGGTTTAAGAACCTTCTTCATGGAGGCCTCTCCTACTTGTAGGGGTCGGCCTCATGGATGCCCCTTTGGGCTATTGGTAGGTTTAAGAACCTTCTTCATAAAGGCCTCTCCTCTTTGGAGGGGTCGGCCTCATGGATG